TGATACGTGCTGCTCAATTCTCCTCCCTTTCGTTCATTGCGTTTTCACTAGAAGGTGCCTAAAATTCTACGTGCGCCACCACGTGTTAAAGATATGTTGGCATCATGACGACTTTCAACTTCTCTTTTCTTTACCCGCAGCGTTCATTTGCCCACGCTATTAGCCGCTGTGCGGTTGTTCGTGGGGCTCAAGAGTGAGCCTAAAGGCAGAGCGAGACGAGTCAGTTCCTTTAGTGGCTGATGAGGGTTCATTAATAACAGTTTTTTGGCGCAGACCAGGAAGGGCAAGCCGCTCTAAGGTTAAACCTCGGAGGACACCATTTAGAAAGGGGGTAGGAGTTGACTTTGGGGTATTGATGCACACGGTGCACCATCGCCCTATAAGAAAGGCTGCGATCAATATTAGCAGCTTCCTTCTTAAGCCAATTCCAGTGTATATGACGTTACCCGCACCATCGTTGTCAAGTGCGCGAGTCCATTGCTCGGTTAAAAATATACTGGAAGGGCAAGAGCGGCTCTGTCTGAAGCCGTGTTCATCCACACTCAGCAATTTTACGGTAGTAACTGGAACAGTACCGGTACTTTGTTTGAAGGGAGACCTGCTGAAATAACATAAATTCTTCTTGGTCCTAGTTCCAACAAGAGTGCGTGGAGGGCAACGGGCTAGTTGGTTTGATCTTGTTTTCACTAAAGCTCTTAACAATATGAGCGAGGTTGACTGTCAATCTCTGCTCGAACGGAGAGATCTTAAATGACTTTTACGGGAGTAGGATTTATCTTCTGTATTGAGGAAAGACTTTTTGTCAAACGTGAGCTGCTGCGTTCCGAAGAGCCGATGTTTTTTCCCTAGCGGCGTCCCAACGGACTGCAAATTACTTAAGTAACGTTTATTGCATCTACTGGGGATCCCTTGTCTTGTATCAGGTCCCAAGATAACCAGCTGGCCTCAGTGGATAACACGAGATCTGCAAAAGGGGTTATCGAGAAAGGAAGGCTGTGGAGGATTTTTAGAAAGGGCGAAAGCGCAAACTTGCATTCCCACGCGAAGAACTTCGCCTGGGAATGCTGAGAAAATTTAAG